ATTAAATTTTTTTTTTTACACAATGTTTATCATAATTTTTTTAATCTGAAACACAATATTTTTTTTTACTTAAACGTCGTATTTTAAAAAAGTAGTCAAATATACTCGGTTAGAAGAGACAGGAAGTATTATTTATACAATCGGCGTGGTAGAGGCCAATTTTATCGGGGTTGGTTGTTCTCCAATCTGATGAAGATTTGATCTGATCAAAATGATGAATCATCATTGATGATATTGCGACGAAAAATTACGTATTTTTATTGCTGTGTAGGTCCTTATAAAATAGTACACTATACCCGTTCAAAATTCGATGTTAGCGTATTGAATTATTTCCAATAAATATTCTGCTCAGGAATATGAAATAAAAAATGTGTATGTTGTCATTCAAAAACTATAAAAGTTATATCGATTTAGAATTCTATAGAACATAATTTTATTTTCAGTATGTTAAAACTTCGAAATAGTGTATGTAAAAACTTAAATGGATCACTTAGTAAATAAATTAATCAAAAAGACTACTCATTTCATCATTTCTTTTAGATTCTGAGTGGAATGATAATTGTATTAATTGTATATTTATTTTTGTCATCACCTTTTGAATAAGTAAACTCCAATATTTAACTTTGGAAATGATATCTGATAGTAAATTAAATAATGAATCTAGATATTTTAGAGTTAAAAATCCTAGTAAATAATTAGTAACAAAAAATTCAATAATTAGTATTAACGTAAAACCAGTTTTTGACAATGATTTTCATTTTTATTTTAATTAAAACATAGATAACTGCAGAGTTTGATTTTTCATCAATTGTATTAGAATAGTTACTAGATACAATTTAATTTTCATGTTACTTTTGAAGTCATGTATTCCTCCTCTTGACCTGAGATTGTTTTTATTAAGCATCTTCTACTGTATTTTTGCTTTTTTGTATTATTTATAAGCATTTAAGATTCTAAAAGAAACGATGAATGTATTAATGTTATCACAGTGAGTTTTTTTTTTTCGATCAAATGCTTTAATTTAAAAAAATAATTTTTTTACAAATCCAGTTTTTTAACGAAGTCAATTTTTTTTTTTTTTTTTTTTTTTTTTTTTTTTTGGTAAAGTTCAGAAACAACCGTAGTAAATTGCACTTATGTTTATATCATCGTTTTTTATTTATGGTATAATTTTCATAATTCAATAGGCGTAGGGTGGTAAGATTTTTGGGGGAGGGGCTAAGCCCCCTAACTACTGTTGATAAAAAAAGCCGTTAATAAACATGAGAAATTTTTAGTTTTTTTTTTTTTATATATAATTTGGTGGATAAAAATGTTTGAAAAATTAATACAATGTAATTTATTTATCAATTAAACATATCATAACCTTTAGTCACAATATTCTTTTATAAGCGTTTTAAGTTGGAATTTTTATAAAAATTAAAAATATAACGAATTTCACCCTGGGCTTAAACATTTTACACAAAATTCTGAAGATTCATCTAAGTTTGCTTTTATTACTGGAATTTAATTAAAACGATTGAGCGTAAAACTAAATCAATTTTTTATAACCTTTTTGTATCAAGCACAAATAGTCACTGATTAACCTGTTTTGTTAATATTTTGGTCAAAATTTCGAAGCAGAAAAAATTCTTTAGTATTAAACTTGGAAAATGATTTCTAGCTAGTATCAATAACAAGTTTCAGCATATCTGTTTTTTAAATAATTGGTAATATTAAATATAATTAAGCTGGAATAGTTATTATTTTGTTGTAGCTTAACAAAGAATAACTATAAATATTTAAAATATTTTGTATCTTTTTTTTAAGAAATGTGACAATGTTTTATCGTTTTATAATTTAAGTTTAACATTTTTAAAAATGTCGAAAATAGTTATGTTCTACCCAATAAGATAACGTGTAGATTTTGAGCGTTTTTACGCAGCAACTTGCTTTTAGTGGAACTGGTATGATAGTGTTTAGGGGTTGCCTAAAAGAACCTAAGGCGCTTTCTCTAGTTGGAAAAATATTTATAGTCGTAGAATTTTTATAAGCATATTTTAAATTCAAAAATTTTAAAAATAATTCCAAATCATGGGACATTTTTAAATAATTTTATAAATTAAAAATAATTATATTTTTACTTTTGATACCTATGGCTTAGGCTTAAAAAAAAATTAAGTTAAGACATCATTAACTAGTTTTTGATAATACATAATTTTTTTGAATGTCGAGTGTTAATTTTAAATTAATTAATTATTTACGTACTTAAAAAAATGTAATGAGTAGGCGAATGGCATATTGAAGAATTGGGGTTAAAAATATATTATTCTAGTGAAATGAATAACGGCTTCAAATTGTATCACCATCGACATAGGTGGAAGTAGGAAGTGATATTTATGAAGGTCTTTTTTGGATTTCTCAATATGGAAACCTTTTTTGTGCGCATTTACAATGTAAATACTTACAAGTAATTTATTCAGATAATATATTATTTGCGTGTAATAAAATTCCACATTAATCGCCGAATATTTGTCTCGTATCAATTACAAATTTGTTACTGTTATCTTATTTAACCATTAGGTACATTGAAGAGGCTTAGTTCTTTTGACCTTTATAGATGGATTTAAAACCTTTCTCAGGGGCTTAACTTCTTAGGCCCCAAAATTATGTACACATGTACTAAAGGGTAAATATACTGTTACTTAAAATAATGGATAATCATGTGGAAAATATCTGTGAAATTAGATATATCTCTATCATGTTCTTGTATAGTAGATAAATGAGATGGGAAAACATTTTTTCTTTATTTTATTACTACTTACAGTCAAAATGTATTAATATTTTTGTAAATATTTTTTTTAGTTTAGTAACAATTTTTGAAATGACTACATACATTCTTAACTTATGTTGATTTAACTATCTATTTATTTCAATGTAGAATATTATTCTTAAAATTATAATTTTTTTTTTAAAACGAATTTCAAATGAGTACCTATTTAAAATTTATTTGAATTGAGGGATTTTGCGTTTTTTCCTTTGTCATCAGGTTCCTACATATTTCACTATTCCGCTTATCTAAATTTTACTTTTTATTATAATCTATTTGTTAACTAATCGTTTGAAATATCATTTTCTATGTATGTAGTTGAAATTCGGAGAAAAACATAGTACTTGAAAATTATAAATGTACGAGTAGGTGTGCTGTTATCTATTGAAAACATCATTTTTGTTTTGTAATAATTCAAATCATGAAAAAATAAATTTCAATTTCTTCAAAAATAATATGTTTTTCGGGTTGATGAATGTTACTATTTATATCTATTTATAAGCAGTAGTAAAGTGGATGGGGACGGATTACCCTTCCTTATTTACGGTAAGATTATGTGTTCCGCTGTCCCCTTTAATTTAAGTCTCCTAAGTTCGAGGGGATGCCCACACATTGATTAATCACCGAATTCAAACGTATTTAAAAGTTGATAAGTTATAATATTTTATTGAGCTATTGAGGACCTTTATAATTTAAATAAATATATTCTTGTATGATTTTATAATATTTTTATAGCTTATGATATGTGATATAATAATTAAAATTTAAATAAATTATTAAAGTGAAATGATATGAATAGTAATATTTATAATAAATTATTTTTTTTTTTAGGAGAAAATTTGATTTTACATATTATTAACATTAGATTTATACCTAATAGGCTTCTTAAAAAAAATTGATTAAACATAGACTTGGGAAGAACTCACGAACGCTCCTCAATTTTTGTCGACTTTTGTCCCTCCTCAACATTTTTCCCACTTAAACCACTGTTTATAAGAATCACACATAGTTTGTTGATCTGTTTTTTAATTTTTGGTTTTAACATTTTTAACTTTTCATGTCATATTCAAAATAAACAAGAAAGTTATTTATGTAATTGCGAATATTTTTTATATTACTTAGGTGTTGACAACTATAATTATTAATAAATCACAAATGAATTATGTTTGACTTCATTAATTTTATATGATGTTATGAGGTCATTTTAAATTGGTACGTATGTCATATTTTTAGGATGGTTAAAGGTAACATAATGTACAAATGCTATTTATGTTCACACAAATTAATTACCCATTTACAAATATTTCACAGTCACAATTTATGGTAACATATTTTAATTATTTTAAAGCTTTATAAGTTATACTAATTTTTTTTATTTCGCCGTTAATTTAATAAATATTGATAATGAAAATATTATAACAATAATGTTGTTATTTTAGTTAAAAAATATTGTCTTACATAATATGTAGTATACATTGCGTAAATAAAGAATTTTATATTTAAAAATTATGTTTTGTTTTTTTCCCCTATCAAGACATTCCTTCTATTCGCATTTTTTAGTGTATTGAATGTATAACAGGGTTTTTTTTTTAATTTGAATTAAAGAAAAACCAAATCCTTGACAATATAACAATATGATATCGATGAATTATTTATTTGAGACGAATCAATTAAGTGTATTTGCACAGTTGCTCGAATTTTATTTTATCTATACATTTTCATTATACCTACTCAAAAACGATTACAAACTGTTATACTTACCAATTGGTTTCACATTTGTTTAATTAAAATCTAATTGTGATACAACGAACTATAATTTATAAATATACTTAATATACTCTGTTCAAGTTAAGAAATATATTTGGCGGCTAATTAATATACAGAGACGTGGTTAAACTGCATGACAGTTATATAAAATTGTGATTCGGTGCGGATGACAAACTGGTTGCCGTCGGCTGTTTTTTAACTTAAATAGAATTTTGTTATTTGTTCAGTCGTTTTTGCCAATGCGTTCAACATTATACTCGTATAATATAAATATAACTTTAGTTTGTTTAATTCTTAATATTTTCCAATACTACGAATCAACCAATAATCAATATGTTATTTGATAATATATATTATGAATTTGTGTCAATAGGATTCTTTGTTTGTAGTGATTAACTTATGATTTGTTTTATTTTATTCACAGCTAAAATTAAAGAGAGCGGTTTGTTTATGGATGCAATGTTGAATGTCCTAAACTCGGCTCCAAAAATCACCAAAAAACGAAAACCTAAACCGGAAGCTATTAAAAAACAAGACTCTCCTCCATCGGCTATCCCATTGTCACCTGTCAAGTCTGACTTACCATCGCCATTAAGATCTCCATTACATTCGCCATCGACGTTGGATTTGGATTCTTTAGTTTTGCCACAACCCTTGACGAGCGCCAATGAGTCGCTGTCATTTTCAGAATCAATTACGCCTTCAGATTACGTACCGTTATCGGCAGAAAATAATACTTCTGATGATGTGACCCCCGATCCAGAACCTGAGTTAAATGTTGAACCAATTGTTGAAAAGCCTCCACAACTAAAGGTATGTATTACACGTATTTCTTTGTCGAAGGATCAACATCTAATAATAAATCTTCGGTTTTATCATTATGATTTATTTTGTTCAGTTTTATCGAGACACTTTACTGGATTCTACAAACGAGTCACTCAATACTGATGAACTCGAAAAAGTCCAAGCCAAAAGTCGTGAGTAGTATTTTTTATTAATTATTTAATAAATTTACATATTATGTTATACTAAAATATTTAATATATTTAAAGCTATTGGCGAATCAACTACGAATAATTGCAACGACAAAAAAAGCGGTATGCGAAGTGTTCTGGTGTACGTCAGAAATAAATCGTCAAAAAAATCGGTTTCATGGAAACAAGAAAGCGATTTGGTGAAAGTTTCGTATTTTGAACACGACGAAACCGAAAGAGGTACCTATTTAGAAATTGTTTATTTTTGTATATTATCATATAATATTTCGTTGTTTTTTCACTCATTTACTAGTATTTCTTTGCTAAATGTATATCGATATATATTTCTAGACTAAATTATACCTTAAATCGATAAGTGTACCTATTTATGCATTTGTAATAAAACTCCAATTATTAGGACTAATTAATGTCAAGGGTGGTCCGGATATAAGCAAATATCCGTATGGTTGACATATGACATCAAAAGTTATGTAATTGTATGAATATATCCGCGCAACGATACGATTTTTGCTCTCATAGTATGCATCACTACACGTTTTCTATTGACTATTAGACAACATCGTAACACTGATATTCACTCGTTATAACGTATAACGATTGATAGACCAAACTGTATGAAATTAAACAACAACTGACTTACTAAAACGAATGATACCTATTAATAATAATAGTTAAGTATTATTTATCTAATATACGATTAGGGACGATAAAATATCATTACGATTTGCGAATTATTAAAAGTCCCATCCTTTTTTTTCTCGTCTGTCTGATTGGCATTCGGATAATCGGAGTTCTACTGTAGATATAAGTAAATTAGTATTTATATATTTAACTTCATTTAAAATGTTTTTTGTTCTATTAATTCGTTTTTAATATCTGATGCTGGTTAAATGCAATGAAATGTATTTCTATAAAATATTCACTTGAATAATAAATGTTTATTATTTTTTTTAATAATTTATCTATATATATATTTGTAATTGTTTTAGTAAATGTAACAAAAAACTTTAAAGCTATGGAAATGCATGAACGAGATATTGAAAGACAAAACTTCATTGCTGTTCGAAAATTAAGTAAGACAGTCAAATTAAAAATTAAATTATATCCTTTAAAGTATAGAAACTAATACTAATGAAAACATTTTTTTTTAGATGCTGCTGATAATATGGAATCAAAGACACCTTGGCGGTATTTAGACGATAGTTTGTTAGTTGACTTACCAGAAGAACCTGGTAAAGAAAAAATAGAACCTGGCAGTGGTAGTCAAGAAAAAAAGAAACAGACTCTTAGAGAACAATCAGTTTTGCAAGCTATTTACTTCACTAGAAATATGTAAGTGTAGTATGTAAATTTTAATTTACCATGATAACATATTATTAACTTAATTTTATTATATAGGATACCGGATTCACCAGAAGAACCTGATCAAATGGAAATAATAGTGCCATACTCTGAACCATTAAACATTCCCTTGGAAGACATGTCAGGGGATACTGCCCCAATATACAACTATGTAAGCATTTCTTGGCCAGAATCTAAAGGTGATCAACCTCCTGCTGTAGAATTTCCCATTGGAATGAACAATATGATGTCAATGCCCAATATGATGATACCACAACCTCAGTTTCCAGTGTTTGGGGGCAATCAAATGAATTGGGGTATGCCACCTGAAAATATAATGGCAATGGGTCCTCCGTCAAACAATATTTACATTCCCCCTAACCAAATGATGATGAATAATCAGATTTTTATGGGGGATCAGATGCAACAACAGTCTCAACCCTTACCACTGCAACAGCAACCACCACCACCTCTACAACAGCAACAACAGCAGCAGCAGCAACACCACCACCAACACCAACAACACCAACACCAACAACACCAACAACATCAACAACATCATCCACCACCTGTTCAAGAAGACCAATGGATGGGTCCACCTGGACCTCCAATGCAACATGACCAGCATTGGGGCCAACAGCAACCTCCTCCTAACAACGGACCCCCACATTTTGAAAGAGGTGGTGGTGGTGGCCGTGGTCATACTAGATGGGACAACCCTAGGGGTGGTAATTATGACTCTTATCGAGGCAAAATGAACCGTAATAATCGCGGTAATAGAGGAGGTCCTTATAATAGGAGAGGTGGTCATCCAGGCAATGGAAGAGTAGGTGGTCGCTTATGTAAATATTATGCGAAACAAGGTTTCTGTAAAACTTCAAACTGTGCTTTTCTACATTCAAAATGTTAATGTAACCAAGTCCATTATCATTACTATTTTTTTTTGTCATGAAATAAGACTGAATAAAATTTAAGATCTGTAGTAGTAGTTCCCTCACACTTTATTCTCGATACTTGAATGACAAGCGATATTGTATATAAAATTATAAATATTATGTATAATTATTAATTGTACACATTTCGTTAAAACCAAATAATTGTTAAATAAATGTTGTTTCTATATAAGCTTATTATTAGTTACTTGATTTTTTTATTGTAAAATATTATTTTATACTAAAAAAAATAGTTATTATTATAAGATGAATGGGATTTATCTAATTGTTTTTAAAAACAAAATTTTAACATTACAAAATGAACTAGATTATCACTATTGCTTGTTATAAGCAAATTTTATTTCTGTTTAGTTGTATATTTGTAACTACTACCATTTACATTTTGTGTAATATATGTCTAGATTAACCTATGTCTAGTACAAAAGATAAAAATCATTTTATAATAATACAATTTTTTTATTTTATTTTGTTGACCCAATTATTTAAAAACTAAAACTGCATAGATCATAACACTATATAAAATAAATAAAGCCTGTATTATCTTCTAACATTTAAACAGTTCGTATTTGGTCAAGTCAGTTTTAGTGAATTGTCCTATAAACAAATTTAAAGTAAGTTGTAACTTATCTGTATTTCAAAATAAATTACAGTATTTTATATACTGTAAATTTGCTTTAAAACTAAAAAACTAAATGTATAATTATATAAATTTCAATTAGCTACATTATATGATTCATTCTTGTAAGATAGAAATAACAAATGCGGATGTAAAAAATGTAATTGTTGATTAAAATAAACAACTAAAATAAGAACTGACTTATTACATTCATTTAAAATTAAAATAAACACATTTTCTGTATAGTTATTGTTAGATATATATTTGTATAAAAATAAAATATAAATTGGCATAACAATTAACAATTATATATAACTATAATAAAAATACTGAATTACTTATTATTAAATGTTAACTTAATAAAACTGTAATTACTCAGCTTATAAGAATAAAATATTAAAATTCAACTTAACAAAATTAAAAATAAAATATATAATTAATATTTAAACATAAAATATATTATTTATCATATTATAGAGTTTTGATTAGATTGTAATCGCAATTCTGATATCAATGGTAATTCATCACATTCTCCAGGAATTGAGTTATTCCAAGCACTCTAGAATATAAATATTTTAACTATTTGTACAAAGTACTAACCTAATGTACTTATTAGTACCTACACAGATAGTGATTGGGCTAAAGTGATTTAGATATGAATTAAACAGGTGTGCAAGTATAACTGTAGTTTCTATTATATCATTGATTATAAATAATAATAACTATTTACACCTTTAAAGTTGCATAAGATTTGAATAGATACATTTTACTGAACTAACCATGATTGAAAATACTTAAGTGATTCACAGTGATCTATTAACCATGGAATATTTAATTACATAATTTAACATTCACGAAAAAAATTAAAAGCATTGAAATAATATTAATCAAAATACATCGATATTATTATTACAAATTATAATTAATAATAATTTAGTTTAGCACCCACCTCAAAATTTTAAATTTAATAATAACTAAATATTATTATTATTTTTTTTTTTTTAAATAAAAGTAAAAACTAATTATACTATTATCACGAATAACGATAGATACTATGTTGGTATTTCAATATTAAAAACAGTTCATAAATATTTTTATACTTACATTTTTTTTTTCAACGCTAGTCTGAAGTTTAGATTCAACAAATTGAGGTGTACTAGTTGAATCTTGATCACTATTATTAACTAACTGACTGTCTGAAAGTGATTCGTTAATGGACGGCGTGACATTTGTGGATCTTGTAGAAGCTGGATTACTTGTTACTTTAAAACAATTGTTTTTTATTTCTATTTGAGGCACAACTACACCTTCGATTTGATCAGGAACAGTTAATGCTCCAAAATGAGGTACAGGTGATGTATTTTGTTTTAACAATTGATTACTCGGAATAGGACTCTGAAATAATCAACACAAATTATAACTGTATTTTTCTTTATTTAAAATATAATACGAATAATATTGTAAATACCACATATAGCTTCCCAAGTATGATGCAACGTATAGTATAATAAGTAGGTATGTTTGAAAAACTACTGGAATATGACGATAATGCTGCTATAGTGCGATGGGGGGTATAAGAGTGAGGTAGGATGGTATAAAATATTATAACTAACAGATAATTAGGTAATAAGAAAAAGTCACCAGAATAAAAAGAATAAATTATCAATGGTTTACGATATATATTACGATAGTTACTTAACATGTTTCAAATGAATTCCATGTACAAAATATCTACTCTTTAGACTATTTATATTAATTAAATAATTATAGTTACCTACAAACTTAATTTAAGTTATCTAACTATAGAACTCCTCTAAAATACTAGATATTACAATACTAATAAATATAGTAATACTACTATTTATTAATTTCTAATTTTGATTCATGATAATGAAATTTAACTGAAAAGACATTCCATTTACAACGATAAGTATAGAAATGTAGAATGCAAATAATGCAATATAGGTAATGACGTAATGTGATGTGTAGGTATATTACTCTTATATAACGGTAGTCGGTAGTGTTTAATATTGTAACAGTTAAAATTATTTGAAACCTTTAAGCAAAGACGCCACCGAGTTGGATACTTTATTTAACTCCCGTCGAGTCTTTTATCAATTTAGTAAGCTAATTATGCCTATATAGTATGATAATGTATATAAACAATTATATTTAGGATGCCAATTGCAGTAGGTATATTGGTAAATAAAAAAAGAAACTATAGTCAAATTAGGAATCAGGTTGTGAGTAAAGCGAGCTGTTTTTAAATTGATATCCCATGGAACAATCTACATATAAAAATTTGATAAGTTCAATATGATCGTATGCAGTACTTACGCACTACCTATCGTTGATATGATCTCAATCATCCTATATTACATACCTGACAATAACATAAATGTTTGTCAAATAAAAACAACATGATGTTATAGGATTTCAGGAAAAAACTGCGTGATTGTTAATAAATCAAATTTATAATGTCTATGAAAAAAAAGACGGGTCGCGTGATACACTATAATACGGTGGTAAACCAATAAAGTGAAAGAATGAATCGCACGGAACAGTATTCGAGCGATGGTGTTATACGGTCTCCAATCAGAGACAGCGCGGGGCGTTGTGTACAATAACCAATCATAATAAACAGGACAAAACGACTATTAAGAAACAGGGCAGGCGAGAGCCTGCGCCCTGCACAACGATATGGCGCATTATTAACCAAGACAACTATACAGTATTATTTACACTATAGTGTATTAATAAATATAGGTAAAGATGAATGTGGATCACAAATTCACAAAAAATACAATCGGGCGCATGTATCTACTTAAGCTATGCCACAAGTACCTTTTTTTTACTGTAAACTCCGTCAGTGAAGAAAATCAAGTAGTACCTAGTATAAAATTAATATAATATATTATTAAAAAAAAAAAAAATTATAATATAATAACATATCATATGGTTCACATTAAATATTTAAATCGTAATAAATAATCATTATACATAATAATGCAAAAATATATATAGTTGTCATAAAGGACCTTTTATTACTTTTTTATCTTAACCTGTATTCTGGTGGAGTTTATGCAATCAATGTAAATATAATCACGTCACAACTTACGATGCATAATTTTATTACACTATTATGGCTCAAGGATGTAAAGGATATTTTATCGAGAAATCGGTACCTATCCACATTAATTACTTTTATGGTTTTACAATTTTATTATCGGTATCAAATTGAAAATTAATAACAATGAAGGACTAATGTTCCTACAAGGAGCTTAACACAAGAACTGCAGAGCTACCGTTAAGAAAAAAGTTCATATAATAAGAGTTATCTTTGTTATTATTTTATTTTTATATACAACGTTTTATTGTCTTTTATTAATTAGAATTAGGTCAGGCCCAAGGAAAGAGTTTCCCAAGTGTATCCCGAAATGATCCTTTTTTAATACTCCGAATGTGTCCAAAATATAAGGTATCACCCGTGACCTCATGAGTGCATCCCAATATTGCAGAAGCGTCATTTCAAGTTTTTTTTGGGGGGTAAGCGAGGATTCAAGTAAACCATCTTAAAATTTCACCAAGCCATATAAAAATAAATATACCTACATACGACTATACGAGTATAGGTACGTCATTCTGCTTTCAATTATTTCTATATACATCGAATGGACCGAACATTGCATCAATATAAATAGTAAAAATCAATTTAAAAGCTAAAATATAATGAATAATTAACATTCATAATAATTGGCAGTATAGGTATACTAATATTGATAAATGTCAATAAAAAAATTAAAATACAATTTAAGAAAATTTAATTTTGAGTATTATTTTATCAAGGCATAGGCCAATTATAGTACTATAATTTTAAAAGTAAAAGGTACGACCGCACACCCTGATCCCTCAAATGACGCCCCTGCGTCCCAAGAAAAAAAATTTATATTTTTAACATAGCCCTAGTGTTTCCCAGTTCATTTAAATTTACCCGGGAAAACATTAAAAACAGTATAAAGGTACATTTGTCATTTTCTAAAATAAAAAAGTTAATCACTGAAGTAACAATAATATTTTTGAAAGTTCTTAATTGTGCAGAAAAACTGTTAGAAATATATAAGTGCATACTCGTAGGTATCTAAATTTAAGTCATTCGCAAGAATCAATAATTATTACCAGATAGGGATAATACGGAATATAATTAAGGTTTAGTACATTAAAATACTAGGTTTAATGAAATTATTAAGAAATAAAAAAGTTCGAGTCAATACAATGTTGATTACAGTTATCCTACATTTCAGCAGTTGCTAGCTATTCTATTCAAATATTGAACAATCTATTTAAAACAAAGATCATTTAATTTATATGTCAGTAGCCAACTTAGAATTTTTTAAGACACCTATTATAGGTGTTTATTGTAATAATAAAACAATTAAAACACGAAAAATTATGATACTAGTTAACTTAGTTAAATGTTTAGATTTAGCCGACTAATATAGAAACGAAGTTTGCGATCTGCACAAATAAGCATATGCAGAACTTTTTCGCAAAGTTGACAAAATAATTTTAGTAGGGATAACTTACTCTTCCATGAATTTCTTTTGTTTAAAATTCATAATAAAATATAAATGTTTATTATAGCGAAATGCTTCTTAAGTTGACTCTATCTCTTTCAAAACTATTAATTACTTGAAATAAAGGTATATATATATATTATTAGTCATTATTATTTGAAGGGTGTATAGAATCAGTTTCATATTTTCAAAATTTGTCATCAAATAATTATAGTTAATTAATAATTATTCATCTACATCACAATAAAAAATGTCCTAAACTTTTAACTGATAAATCAATGTACCTACAGCTAAAACTATAATTCCTAAATAATTTTCATGATACCCTCGTACCATAATGTAAGAGTGTACTAATAAATTATTTAAAAATCTGCATTTTAAAGATGAGTTGACAATCTCATCTCTTACACAGTTACACATGAATTTTGTTTTACAAACAAAATTTGAATATTTTTAGGGCATATATAAATGGTTAAATAAAATAAAATAGCTATTATAATTATTATATACAATAATTAGTAATCTAGAAGTTTTTAAATGTAAGCTATACATATAATCAAATAATTTCAAAAAAATTCAAGCAAATTTTTTTTTAATTATTAATAAATTTAATGTGTTTAACCATATATATATAATACACAGTCTTAACTTCCTAAAACAGAAGCATGAAATAATCTGCTGTGATTGCTTTTTTTTTTTAATTATTTAATATTTAAAGAAAAATATTATTTTAAATGTTATAAAATTTGAACTAAACTTTAATTAAACAGCATCAAGCCCGGATTAAGTGGAGAGCCAGGGGGCACGGTCCCGAAGCCCATCATTATTTTTAATGTAAATATATATTTTTAATGCGTAAATAATTAATAACTATAAAACAAAAATGTTCCTAATTTTAAATTACGAAAAATTACTAAATGATAATAAATATTAAACTGTTATTCTAATAATTAATAACATATAAGTAGTAATAATTAATATTAGGTATTCTTTATTCTTGATCTATTCGCATGAGGTGCCCACATAATATAATAAAAAGAATTGTTTGGCTAAAATAACATTTTCCAGATTAACAAGAATAATAAATAAATATAGAATAATCCAGGCTAAAGAAAATTTAAAATCATTAATCATTCTATATTCAGGAAATGATTTTTTGCAATCGATCAATTTCAATGAAACTATTCAACAATTTGTAAAAGAAAAAAATTTGCAAAGGAAAAAATGTTTTAATTATTATTCTTTTAACAAATACAGCATTTATATATATATATAATGTGTATAATAAATTATTACATACCTAATTATTAATTTATATAGCTTTATATACATTAATACATTATACTATACAAAAGTATACAATAATATACAGTTTTTAAAATGTAGAGATACAATTTTTTTGAAGTTAAAGTTGAAAAGGGGCCCACTGAGTTTATGGTGTCCTGGGGCCCAATCAATCCTTAATCCAGGCTTGAACAGCATTTGATTGTAAGCAATTAAGTTATTTTATTTTATATATTAATTATTTATCCATGTTTTTGTTTTAAAATATGATGTTATATACTTAATTAATATTTTTTTTTGGAAATAATTGTTTAGTGACCCATCATCCATGTTAATTTTAAGACATGCAAATAGTTATTGAATACTAATTGGTAAAAATTTACAAATAGCCATGGCTGTGGATGGTAGGAACCGGATGGAGTTGAAAGTTTTCTCATTTGCATCTCATATTGAAATGTTGGTAAATAACTGTGTCTGATAGTAGCTTTAAATTATAATTAATATATTATATATACAATAATTTATTTTTAAATGATTGTTTATATATTTACATTGATGCTTTTCTTGTAACATAACACAATCTAATTTTCTTAATACTTGTTCCATTTCAGGGCGATCTTTTGCTTTATAACTAACACAATTTTTGCCAATAGTCATGAGAGAAAGATAAACATTGTTTTCATCTGGTCCTGCCTTCACATCTGCCATGTCAGAAATTGGACAATCATTATTTTCAACATGATCTTTCTATAAAATTAAATAATAAAATGTATAGGTACATTTATAATGATAATTATTAAAATATCAATTAGAACAACAATAATAATTATTAAAATCAATTAGTTTCTTTGAATGCTTACCAAAAATTTATGATTTCTTAAACTGTCATATGCTCTTTGACCAGTAGCAATTTCAAAAAGTACCTAAATTAAATTTCATAACTGATATAGTGAATAAAATAAATTTCTTAATAAATCATAAAACTTCATTAAATATAATGTTATAAAATAAAGTTAAATACCAATTAATGTATAACAGTTGTTTATCTGGAAAAAATATCTGCATTATATAAAATATATTATGTAACAAGGGCAAATTAATAATTTAAAAAATAATACAGAGGGTATAGAATAACAACTCAAATAGCTTGTTATATGTAGTGAATAGGTGAAATAAAGATTTTCATACAAAACATTGTAATTTGTAAAATTATAATTAGGTAATATGGATATACAATATTATAGGCAATAACCAGTATTAAATGTTTAATAAATTATTCATCACTACAATGTAATTTAATAACCAAAAATAATTATAAGAAAATAATTTTTTAATCAATTTTGAGTAATTTACCTAATCATGTTTATCATATTAACATATTAGGATATATTTTACTTATTTTAAAACATAACATTTTTGAGTTCAAACATATGAATTTGAATTTTCATAAATATACAAGAAAATATAAATTCAATTCTATAATTACACTTATAATAAGTATAATAATTTAAGATACATACCACACCAAAACTATAAGTATCAACTTTAGTGGAAAACTTTTTGCCTCTTAAAAATTCATCTGGGAGATAGGGTCTTGTTCCGTGAACATGGCTAACTTTTACATGAGTATATTCTTGAAGAGGTCCTTCACGAGCCAATCCAAAATCACCAATACGAGGTTCAAAATATGGATCCAAAAGAATATTTGCACTAATAATAACAGAATTATAATTATTTTAACTGAGTGGGGCACATCTACAAAGTTAATTATATCAGATGTTTGAAAATTATTAAAAATAAATGCAATAATAACAATAAAAATTGGAGTATTAATATTAACTGGGAATTTATTTATTTTTAACTTACTAACTTAACTAGTAAATTAAATTTTTAATAACCCTAATGACAAAACAAGAATATTCATTGCAATAACTTAAATTTTCAGTTAGTTAAAAAATTATGTTAACCATAGATATTTATCTAAATTTATTTATTAATTAAATTAATAGATCAATATCTATGACTGTGGTTGAAACTAATTAATATTATGTTTAAGCTTAATCGCTTTATACACAATAATTTTAAAAATAATTAATCAAGTTAATATTATTACTTTAATAAAAAAGTGTAATTGTGTAATTGATCAAACACAAAATAAATAATAGGATGCATTTTTAACAAAATGTGTAGTATTTTTAATGCATAAAAGGTGATGATAGTAAAAAGAAAACAAAACTTTTTATGATTTGAATTAATGGTGGCATGGCAGAAATAATTTAAGAGAATAGATATTGATGACTAATGATCAACTGATCATAATTTAATATAAATTAGTATCTACTACGATAGATAGTTAAAATAAATAAATAAATACCTTTATCAGGTTATAAGTAGGTAATCTGGGAGGATATTGGATTATTGTTTTTGAAATATCTTAAAATCACCACATTACTGATTTTAATATTTGTTGAAATAACATAAAACTTTTTAAATAGGCAATTTTCTAACATTTGACATTTGAATATGTGAAACCTATTTTTGTTTAACTAAATAACTTTAAAAGATTCTTAAGTACCTTTTAATATCTCCATGAATTAAAGGTTTATCCATTCCATGTAAAAATTGCAATCCTCTAGCAGATCCTGTTGCAATTTTAAAACGAATACACCATGTTAAAGGTTTAGTTCCTTGCTAAAAACAATAAACTAATAATTAAAAAATACATAAAATTAATTATTATAATATTTGATAGTAAAATTATAAAAATGTTCAATACATATTATTCTTTTGCTAAGTTGCTAGTAAAATAACTATCTTTAAAAGAATTAAAATATAATGGTATTAAAAAAATTAAGTCAAATAATAATGATTGGCTATAATTTTTTCTTTCTAGCTGGAATGAATTTGTACTAGATTTTTAAAGTTATTAGTTTTATACCATATATTAATTTATTTCTGTATATCTGTAAGAAAAAACATATTTAGATATTCATTGGTTATTTTTGTTATATTTGAATAAAACAAGTTTGTAACACCAGTCTTGTAAGAACACTCCTTAAATTGCATATTAATTTAAATAATTGAAAATATAAGATTTTAGTATAATAAAAACTCCAAGGTTCCTAATAGGTTTTAATTTAAAATTCTACAGTTTATATTGAGTTCAAAATTATTATTTTACAATAAATACTTGTAAACTTACTCGACATTGTAATCGATCTTCAAGAGAACCGTTGATCATATACTGATACACTAAACATGGTTTTTCACCACCAATGCTAAATCCATAAAGGGATAAAATATTATCATGTCTGCAAGAATTTAAATACTTCAGTTCTCTTAAAGATTGTTGTCTTTGAGCTTCTAAAATATTAAATTGTTGTTCTGCTCCTTTCTAAAAATGTATGTCGAATTATTTTTTTAAAACTTTCTATCTTAAAATATATATTTAATTTAAGGTTGCCATAAATTCTGTTGGAGTCCTATTAAGCAGGTATTTTGGGATAACCAATTTTTTTAGAAATAAATTTCAATAACTTATGTCAAAAATTTGTTTTTTACTAAAAGAACAATATTGTTTTGAAACATAACAGTTAATACTTAATTGATCGACGATATCTAATTTAAAACTGTTTTTTTGGCTCAGTGACGATAATTAATGACATTAGATTCATTGTTTTGTAGTTCACGGACAACAATTTATGTTATTGACAATTGATTGATTAATCAGAGGAATGACAAGTTTTTTCCATAAACATTATACAAAAACTATCTAGTTTAAGATAAATACATAATATATGACAACCCTAATTTAATTCTTTAATTAAATGTATAATAACCTGAGCTTCAAGACGTTTAATAGCAACTGCTGTGTTTTTCCATATGCCTTTAAAAACTACTCCAAAACCTCCTTTTCCCAAAATATTTTCCTTATTCCAGTAATTAGTAGCTTGTTCAAGTTCATTGTATGTTATCAAAGGCGTACATGCTTCAGCAGAGGAAAACATAACAGATGGATCAGAATAAATATGCTCATTTATTTTGCCTGATTTAATTAAATCTTCATGTTCTAGATTATTTACTCTTTTATGATTGCTATCAGTGTTCAATTTTATAAGATTACCAGCATCATTCTATAAAAATAAAACATAGGAATAAGTAAAAGTTAAAAAAAAATTACCTATTGTATTAACATGGCTACAACTATTACATTTAAATCATTGCCAGTTTCTGTCTTTACTAGGTTACTAAAACTTTTATCACCCTGATAAATCAATTTATGATATTTATTATCCACTAAAAAAAAAAAAAAAATAAAAAAATAAAAATAGTTAACTATTAAAAGTGTTAAATTGTACTTAATATTTTTATTCATACCAAATGGTTTAAGAATGATCATTGCTCTGTAGTGTTGCATTTCATATAAGATAGTAAATAATTCTAATATTGTATGATTTTGTTCTCCCCATAATGTTAAAAGTTCATCGGTAGACGAATGATTTCTCATAGGAGCTTTACTAATTTTAAATAATGTTGCACAGTCAATTTTCATATACTTTCCACCTAAGAACAAAGTAATAACAATTCAGTAGTTCTTAATATGTAGATATGTGTATTATTTAATATAGTTAAATAATTAGTTACCTAGTTCTTCCCATTTATCATTCATGTCAATTATATTGCAGAGTTCTTTACGTTCGGTATATGGCAATTCATAAATATAGGTTTTTTGGTTTAAGTTTAAGTTGCTCATTATCATAAGCTTTACACTAAAAAGTTTTAAAAATTTTAAATTGTAAATACCTAGATATAATATATTAGACAAAAGAAGTAATAAAAAAATACATTTAAATGTTTTAAACAGTTTAAAATTTTAAAAACTGTGAATTTATAATAAATATATTTAGATAGAGATATTACCTTAACTATTATAAAGTAGAGTAGTACTAAAAGTAAAGTCGTAAAATAGTATTGAGTAAACACACTAACACTTCTGACCAATGACGCATTCTAACTGGTAATTGGTATCAACTTAAATCTTAATAGATATTAAGAATACTAAAATACCTGCGACTGTATGACTGCGTATTTAGTATTTACTATTTATGGAAGTGAATTTATTTTCCTTATCAATATTTTATCTATGTTCGGTGAATTGTGATAAAAATAATTGTGCCGCTGTGGTAGAGCTTCTGCTCTGTAGCGATGTGCCGGTGTGACGCCTGGAGACTGGAGAGTGGAGACTAATAACTACTACTATTAATGCCCCAGTCAGGGCCGTTTAAAGGAGGAGTATCAAGACTATTTTACCCCAGGCCCCGAGCATAGAATATTTTTTGCGGGCCCCTTAAAATCTTGATGTAAAAAACATATTATTTCAGGATTTATAATTCAAACCTATCTATTATTTCTAAAACCTTTTTCTTAATAAAATACCCTTAATACAATTTTATTTCGTCTCTGCAAACTAGTTTATTGTAATTATATATAAGTAAACAAGCGACATTTTTAGTTATTCTAAATAGTAAATAATGATAATTAAATATTATAATTTATAATAGACTATTGTTGTCGTAGTGTTGGAGAGTAAGTTAGAAGAAAAAAAACATTTTCATGATGATATTTTAGATTTAGAACAGCCTTTCCGAGATATTGAAAACAAATTTAAAGTTAAAGTGTTTATAACCGCATTAGATAGAGTTTTACCAGGTATTGAAAGCATTCAAGCAAGTATGGAAAAAATAATAAACATATTGTCTTCAATTATCAGTCCACCAGGTATAGAAAAATCAAGTGATGAATATTTGAAAACTCAAACTGAAATTATTTCAAGTATGTATCCTAATTAGTAATCACTAATCAGTAATGACGTGTGTGCTAATGTGTAAAAGAGTAACTATGAATTGATTAGGTACAAAATACGTGAAGTATCAACAGTTATTTTTGATGATAGTCAAGCTGCAATTCTGCATGCCTGCATCCATATGATATATAAAAAAAGACTTTAAAATATACTACCTCAAGCATGTATTTATTTTCGAATACTTTATATCATTTCTATGTCGGTTTCAACAGGAGAAAAATCTTTTACTAAACTGAAATTAATAAAAAATTATTTACGCACAACCACAGAAGAGAATCGTCTAAATCATTTAATGTCTACTTCTTAGTTCTTTCCATTGAACACTACTCACTAGTTAGCAAAGATTATAAATATGATGATGTAATAGACAGTTAACTGAAAAAAGCCAGAAAATAAATTTTTTAATAAAAATATTAATAGTATATTTAAAATAACAAAACAATACAATTTCTTTATTTTTAATTTTTAAATTTCCTTATAATCTATTTATTGAATCCTATAAATATCCAAGTTTCTATTTTTCATTGATATTTTTTGTTATCTAGGGATAATTTTATTTTTTTAGTTAATTTGGTAATATATAGTTAAGAAGTTATTTAAAATTTACTTAATCCATAAATGTACCAATACCAACGTACATTTTAATGATATTGGTTGTGGTTAAGGTTAGGAAAAATACATTTGCAAGAATTTTGTTAATGTAAATATGTATTTATTTTTTTTTTTTTTATTATATCGTGTTATGATGGTCAAAGGGCCCATTTATCTAATCATGAAAGTAGATTTCAAAATTTATAAAGAGTCTATATTATAGACGATAGTAATTACTGACCATAGTAGACAGTAGTTATAGTCTGTAGCTACTATATAACTTCCTATATCTAGACTAGAGTATAGTTGGTAGTAGCACTGGTAGGTAGTTAATCTTGGGCTATAGCATATGGCATGCAAGCAAATACTTTATATTTACAAATTTGATGCATGTTAATAATTATAATAAATTACAACAGTAGTTGGGTAATCTGAGTTACTACTAGTTCGGTATTACTTATCATTACTGTCTCGCGGATGCCTAGTAGTATAAAGACTAGAAACATCTATAGTTTTTTTCTTTATGGCTTATGATTAGTTTGACTTTTTGCATGAATAATAAAGATCTTTATTGTTTATGCTTATTTTATAAATAATTTTTTCTATATTTTCAGCAGTTTACAACCAGTGCTATAATCATACGTTTTAAGGACTCTTGTTGCGAAAAATAATTAGAAGCATTCGACTCATCACTCATATAATAGTATCATTAAAATAAATTATTACTCTACATTATTAATTTTTACTGACGTACAGTATAAAATATCAAGTGGGTTTCTATGATAGTGTGATAAATGTATTAAATTGAATTTAATGATATATCTATCATAAATCATTTAATCATTGTAATGTTGTATAATAATAATTTGTATACGAAAAATAACTTAAAGAGGAGACGATTTGTCAACCTATAATCTATATTATCACTAAGTAAATATATTTTACAATACGTTTTTTGATATAACTATTAAAATAATTTATTTTACTAAAAGTAAAATAAATTTTAGTTAAATTCAGGTTGATTTAATTTTTACCAGAAAACATTGCATTTATCATAAGAGAAGTTTTTAATTATTATAATAATAAATTCTATTTTAGCCAATATTCTTATTGTACCTTTGAGGTACAGATTGAGTATATAGCAATAAAGGAAAAAAATATTTGTACTGTTCATAATATGGGTTACGTGTATTAAATTATTATTATTAATTTAAAAACATTCACACGCGTACCTATGAGGCATTAATTACAAATTGAACATACAGAATAAAGTAGCTCATTTTTTTTTACAATCAGCCTAATAAATGTTGAATAGTCAAAATTATTAATAATTGTATAATTGCTTACCCATGGATTGTGTTATTTTCACTATACCTAATTCGTAATTTTTACTATAAATATCTATTTGTTGTAAGTTGTAGGTACAATTGTTAAAAGTATCAATTATTATTTAATGGAAAAATTTAATCAGATTCGTTTTATTAGCAATTATTAAATAATAAATAATGAATTAGCTCGGTTGGCCAGTCGGCGACTGTGGCAGTGTGGCTATTACTTAAACTACCATGACCCCCAAGCTAATCAATCGCTTCAAAACATTTTTCAGATGCAGCACATTAACTTTTTTTTGTGTACGCCTGTGTCCTGTGTTACCATACCATTTAACCATAAAATAGTAAACGGGTTCATTGTATACATATATGTATTAAAATGTCATTGAGTATGGTAAAATTCATATTTACGTAAAAGTTTAGTCTCCACGAATAATGTTCATTAATCATCATTAAAAAATATCTAATTTCGTATAAATTTCAATTACCTATCTATGGTAATTAATAATCATATATTGTAAAATCAATATACATTCATCGTTTGATCAATAATTTAAATTACCATACTATATAAAAAAAAAAAAAAAAATAATATACTACAGCAGTATTTTTTAACTGTGGAAGAATGACTAATGACTATAAGTTTATAACTAAAGCCATAGCCCAAAGACCTCCATACTAAGATAGTGGCAGGCTATTGTTTTTTTCGTCGGTTTTGTCACAGAATATGAAATATTGTCAATAGTTGTTTTCCCTCCAAAATACGGCGGCGGCGGCGGCTGACAACATACAGTCAACAAGAAAATACGCGCGCGCGCCCATACATTGCATTGTTGTCATTGTTGAGTCAATTAAGCAGCTGCCGCTATGATATGAAAAAAAATATGGTAGGATCGTAAAAATTTTAGTTTTGTTTCAGGTCCGCGCAACGCTTTATTTATTTATCCAAAATTATTATCAATAATGGCTACGTCACACCAAAGAAAAAGAAACCGTATAGTAGTTCATAGGTATATACTATACGACGTGTGTTTTTTTAGACTGTTATTATTTATATCTTAATCATTGCTACTGCAGTAATCACAAAACCGCTGGGCGGGGCGCCATGTGACGTCATTGCCTACCCGTCCGCCCATCAGTCTAGTCCGCCGATCCGCTCCCACCACCGCTGCACCGATCGCGGACCGCCGACTGTTTTACTACTATAGCGCGCTTAAAAACAGTCTGTAAGACCGTAATTCCGTCGGCGCTTCCCCCGGTCGGCTTTTGTTGTACGCCTGATTTCCCGCCATCCGCTAAAAAACATCATCGTCTTTCGTGTGTGTTCCTATTACGTTTTGTTTTCGTCCATTCGTATTGATATCTATTGACACTAGTAATTTTACGGGTATAACAATTATAATAACAGCATCAGCGATCTGTGTTCTGAGTATTCTGATCGTGTTCGTCGCTGCCGTCGGTTTGTGTATTATTTTAGATTTCGTTGTGGTTCGGTATTATACTAGCGCATTAATTAATTTCCGTGTTAATGCGTATAACGTCTTTTATTAATCGAGCACTTACCGCTTATCCCGCTATGGTTATGTGCTCGTCGTACACGTAATAAGTAGTTCTTCCAGTACCTGGTGGCTACAGCCCTACGATCTACAGCGGCAGTAACGCGACGGCCTAACGTTGCTATGGGTGTACCCGTGGGCACAAACGTCCCGGATGATGACGTCTACAACACTAAATTCTTGGACCTGTGCAAAGGCCTCAATTTGGATAAGAACGCTGCCAGTCGTGCATGGGAGACCTATCTAGCGGTTAAGGAGAACTATTCATTAGACGTAAAAATCCGCTTTTTATTTTTTTACTTTGTGAATCATTTGTGCAAATTATAGTCATAACAATGATTTTTTTTCTTTAGGGGGATCCAAGCCATTGGTTAGCCTGTGCTATATATGTGGCATGTCGTAATGTCACTGAACATACAGTTGGAGATAGTGAGACGTTGATCGAAGGCAATTTAGTTAGCTTAACACGACTTCTTCGTTTGTGTAATATTAGGTAACTATTTCTAAAGAATTGATAAATCAGTTAAACTATATTTTACACAATGATTATCAATTCTCTTTCTTCCTTAGCCTCATACACTTCATTGGTAAGAGCAAAAAATGGGCTGATATGATCAATATGCCACCAGAATTGCGCCGTAAAGTAGATAAATTGGAAAAAAACTTTGCTGTTTCTATGGTTATATTTAAGAAATTTCAACCAATATTTGGAGCTATGTTTAACATTAACAAAGACGAACAAACAAAAACACGTTTTTCTAAAAAGCAAA